CGCAGTATCCATTTGCTGGTGTAACAAGGCATTGTTGAAACTATGTTAGTGCTGCCCCTAATGGTCGACCAAATGCTAGTGGGTTATCTTGCTTTGGTTCTTATCTTGCTGAATCTATAAGCAGCCTTTGATATAGTGAATCACTGCATCTTCCTTTCTGTACTCTCTGACTTGGGCATCTTAGGCGAAGCGCTTTCTTGGTTTGAATTCTATCTCACTGGGCACTCCTTCAGTGTACCATGGCAAGGACAAATGTCTTTATCCCGTTCCCTCCCCACTGGAGTGCCCCAAGGATTGGTAGTGAGACCCATTCTCTTTGCAATATAAACCACTTCCTTGGGTCCAATTATCAGCTAGTATAGCTTCTTATATTACTGCTATACACACAACAACCGATTATACCTGTTGATCCTGACTAAACTAATGGCTTGAACTAACAACTACCAGCCAACTAGGAAAATCTTTGGCCGGGGGCAGCCCTAGATGTTATTATATACTATCTTATCTTCCCTGCAATAGACCTCTATCCCCATTGATAAAACATGACCAAAGTACAGAATTATCCACCATCAAGTATGAATAACCACCTTCTGTCCCTGGATTCCCTCCGGGCCTTTAGTACCAGCTGGTCCCTGAGGGCCAGATGAGCCAGGGGACCCATCCACTCCTGGGGGACCGCAAGGACCAGGTACACCAGGCTGACTCTACATGAAACAGACACTGTTAATTACGTATCTCAAGGTTTTGTGTGGTTTTGAAGATGAGTAAGTGATGCTGTGCTTTTGAAAGCACATACAGAATATGAAGTTTATAGTCTGATTATAAAGAGGTTACTTTTTGACCTGTATACGGTGCTAGACAAGTTAAAGTTAGAAACTCACCCTTTCACCTTTCTCTCCCTGAACTCCTTTAAGTCCTGCAACCCCGTTAGAACCACGGGCACCCTACACAAAGAAAATAAGTTAGATTTCACATTCAGAGACAGTTATTGTACAAAGTTTTTTTTATAATACAGTACATACCTTGGGACCAACAAGCCCCTCTTTTCCAGGGGTCCCTGGAGCCCCAGGATGTCCGGCATTCCCCTGGAAAACACAGAGAGCATATTTGAGGACAAACAATCTTTAAGAAACACACAAAGACATATATTTTTTCTAATTTTGTTTTTTCTACAGATATAAGTCATACCTCTTATCCTTTTCTTCCAGCTTATTATTATTATTATCTCTCTCTCCCTCTTTCTCTGTCAATCTAATTGTTCGAGGCAGATGGCCGGCCACCCTGACCTTGGTTCTGCTCAAGGTTTCCGCCTCTTAAAAGGAAGGTTTTCCTTGCCACGATTTGCCAAATGCTTGCTCATGGTGGGAATTATTGTGTCTCAATAAGTAATATAAAGAGTATGGTTTAGACCTCATCTATGTGAAAAGTGCCCTGAGATAACTTCTGTTGTGATTTGGTGCCATATAAATAAAAACTGAATTGACTGGTAGACATGATCAACCATGAATATCAGCATTCATTACTTTCATTTTACATACCATATAATATGACTCATAAAAGTCTGACTCATTTAATCTATTCATGTTTAACGTCTAGTGAGTATATACAGGTGTGTGTGTGTACATGCACCTGTGGGGACACAAACAAAGACAAGATGGCTGATTCAAAATAGTCACTTGGACCACACAGCCTACTTAAGAAAGACTATAAACAAGATGGCAGTAAACACAGAAATTAGACCTAGTCAACATTAGCCAGTCCTTGGAGCAAAAGAGAAGTTCTTTCCAGTGTTCTGCTTGTAAAGTGCAGTGAGTTTGTGTCATGTGAGTTTGTGCAGCTGCCTGGTGGAGATAAGTCCTGTCTGGCTGTGTGGCGTCTGTGTTGCTGAGGAGGTCGCTGGTTGCTCCTTTGTTCCTCTTACAGAGTTAGCTGTTCAATGCCAAGTCTGATTTGTAGCTCGTTGCTTGAGAAATTTAGTGTTGTGCAGCAGTCTGCTGTGAGCAGGCCTGCAGAGAAGAGGTTCCAGGTAGCAGCAGTGCTAACCTGATGCTGACAGTCTTGTTGCAACCATCAAGTAAATTCTTAACCTGTGGGAAACACTGACTCTCATTTGACTTAAGGATATATTATGGCCATTTTTAGTGTTCATCATTTTATTCATGGTGTCTAGTAAAATAGATTTACATGCTTCAGTGTTTGAAAAATACATTATTTTTCTTAAACTCTACATCTTACACTGTAATCTATTGACCAAAAAAAAAACATTTTTATTTTTTTCATCTCTGGACCCTTACGGACTAAAGGAATATAAATAATCTAGGAATGGACAGACAATCAGACTTTACAACTGCTTCAAAGGTAGGTAGGGAGTTGTCCCTGCATCGCCATCTTGCAGGTTTATGATGCTGGTGAATCTGAATTAATTATACTTTTGTGTCCGTTGTTACAGAAAAATGAACTGAATGGTTAAACTGTGGCTAATTTATCTGAACTAATGAGATATAGGATATCAATATTGACAAATACTTAGGCATTTATATCTTTGTGTGTGTTGCTACGCTGCTTCACACCAACGCAATCAGATCGCAGATTAAACATCCCCAATCCATAAGTAATAATCCATACTTCCAGGTTGTCAGAGAAAAATGTTTGGGACAGTGGAGGGAAGTTTGAAAAATTGACAAACTATGTAATCTGCCTAGGAGTGCCCGAACTATAAGAGAGCTCAAACCTTAAACCTAACTACATATTCAAATTTAGAAAACTACCTAAAAGCTGTCATCAAACAACAATCAACCTACAGCAGGATCAAAAGTCAAGTCTAAATATAGTAACTCTTGGCTGAACCTAGCTACTTTTCATAGTATAATAAAATCACAATTTACACTCACTGATTTTCCAGGAGGACCAGGAGCTCCAGCATTTCCTGCACGGCCTGCAACGCCTTGGAGACCCTGAAAATGAAACTCACTAGTTGAAAATCACACCAAAGAGATTAAGGCTAAAAGCATACAGCACTGTGTGATCAGCAGCTCCACCGACCTTCTCCCCCTGTGGTCCTAGAGGTCCTGGTTGTCCAGTTTCTCCTCTCAGACCACGCTGCCCAATATCACCAGACTTCCCCTGTGGCCCTGGAGGACCAGCTAGACCATGAGGGCCTGGTTCCCCCTGAAATGCAGTCACAGTTAGTGTGGTTTACCAGACATGCTACAGATCAAAATTTAACTGATTACAGAGGTAAATACATAAATCATCCACTGTTGCACCACACGCTTTTACTCACTTTTAAACCTTGAAGCCCAACCTCACCAGGAGGACCTGCCGGTCCGATGCCCTTATCTCCCTGCAACACACATTTTGACACAACTGTCACATGGATTTTGTTGCATTTCAGGTAAATCAATAAAACACACAGCAAAAGCTCACCTTATCTCCTTTTGGCCCAGGAGATCCCTGTGCCCCCTGCATGAAAAACAAATAAGGGCGTGTGAAAGGATTTACTGTTTTTGGATTTTATTTTAAGACCCCAATAAAACATTATTGAATTTTTTTTTTTTAAACATTAATTGCTGCTCTTTTATTAATATATATAATAAAATGCAGATTATTCAATTTATTTAAATAGCAAGGCAAATTTTTACATGTCCCCCAAATATCAGTTTGGCATTCATTATTATGCTGGTGAAGGCATGTTCCATCAGTACTGGTGTATACTGTCAGTGCCTCCGGTGAAATCACAGTTAACATGCCTCATCAACCTCAAGGACGACAAATGGTAAAAACTCCAGCCTCAGAGGAGATTGGGCTCAATTACAGTTGACACTTTTAGATAGAAGGTGTAAAGACTTTAATCACACTTTGACTGAAAAGTCGTTGATTAAGGTAAGATTAAATAATTAGACTGGCTTTAAAGTGAGAGCCAAAAAATCCTAGTTTAAAATGCATAGTAAAAAGGCAAAAAACTAAATATATTTACCTGTATTATTATACATTTACTTTACTTTTGTAGGAATTCTGAATAACAGAAATGTTATACCACTAGAACAGTTTAAGTGCGTTGTGAATACCTTGCTTCCTTTTATTCCTGTGATACCAATCTCTCCCTTCTCCCCCTTCTGCCCTACCAGTCCATCTTTTCCTGGTGAACCCTGGAAGAAAAGACAAAAATCCTCCACTTCTGTGCACTATAGGGGGACAACCACACAGAGAAAACAAAGAAGCTGTATTTGGATGGAAGTAAAATCACAGACCGATTCACCCGGTACTCCAGGTTGACCCACTTCTCCCTGTAGCAAGGAAAAAGAATTCCAATGATTGTAGCAGTGAAATTATTCCCTGCACTGTCTTTGCTTTTAATTATGATAATGATTTAATCACAATAAAATGCAAAGTATCACTCGCCTTCTGTCCACCAGGGCCACTGATGTTATAATATCAATACAATGACATTTCATCAAGGGTTTTGGTCATTGCAAAATCACAATATCGCCTAAATGTCATCTTTTCCTGCTTGCATTACAGTGTTAAACAGCCAATGAATGCCTCAGATTACTTGTCAGAAGACAATAACTTTACTTTACTGTTTAACTCAATAAGATTACGGTTTAACTCAATTAAAGAAAAAATATTCACTATTTGCTATTTCAGATTTAAAGCTACTACATTATATGCTGGAAAATTCTACATTATTTTCAGACACTTTCTTCACCAAACAATTACTCAATTCCTCAGACAAATAATTAACAGATAACTGAAAAATTTAAATGATAAGTAGCACCTCTAAAACTATCACATCTGTTCCAACAAGACCAAACTAATTTACCTGCTCCCCTGGAGGTCCCTCTTGACCCTTCACTCCTTTTTCTCCCTGAACACCTTGGGGCCCTCTGTCACCCTGAAACAGAAACCAAACATTTAAGAACAAGAATATATAAGTAGAACGTGAGTGGACATTTTACTATATAAACAGTTTGGCACATCCAAGTGTTCACTGACTGTTTCTCCTTTGTTGCCCTTTTCTCCAGAAGGCCCTTCAACCAGCACAGTGTCCCCCTGTGAGTGACAGCACAGCTGTAAACATCTGGCTTCACCACAAAGCCAAAACATCAACACACAATGTTTCACCATGTTGCCTTTTCTTAAGCTGTGTCACTTGTAGTATCACAGTTCATTTACATGGTGCATATTCATATATTCCTCTGGTGTTACTGAATTCTTGCGCTCATGGAAATGGGACAGATGTACTGAAAACTATATAGTCATATATTCCTCCTGCTCCCAACACAATAAATCTCTTAAAAGAGCTCTCTCAAAACAGCCACTGCCAACACAGCATGTCTTACTTTCGTTCTCCTTCATTTTTGTCTCACTGTCGTCTTTACCAATATGAACAAATAGACAAGCAAGAGAGGGAGAGAGAAAGAGAGTGAGCAGTAGTGGAGCTTATTAGATATTAAAATGCACACACCTTTTCTCCTTTGTCACCTTGCAGTCCAACATCTCCCTGAAATAAAACAAACATTGAGAGCAATACATTTCATTTAGATACTTTAAATGAGCTCAAAGCTCAGAGGATGCTGCAACCAGCAGCTGCTCTAGGACCTACAGGGTGCCACACCCCACAGCCTGTTTGATGACCATGGGTGCTCCATGTATTTGAAACACAAGAACAATCACACATATAAAAGGAAAAGGACTGGTAGTATTCACCTTCTCTCCTTGAGCACCATGAATCCCTGGTGGTCCCTGAAGAAAAAAGACACACACATGCTCCATTATATATGACTTCACAATAAAAGAAAAAACATGCATGTTTCTACCCCTAAGCAAGTTTTCCTTTGAGTCTTGAAAGAGATCCTGAAAGCTTTGGTTGAAAGGCTCTGTTGATGTATGTTGTGTTCCTGAGTGATGGATAACACTTGATATTTACTGTTGGCCCTTTCTCCCCTTTCAGTCCAGCACGACCCTCCTCGCCCTACGACATGACAGACAAAAGAAGATACACAAACATGACGGACTTAGTTTCTATCCTCCAGAGACATGTCCATGTTAGATCATAATTTCAATGATACAGTATTACAGTGCAACTGGTGTCTTACTCTGGGCCACTTCCCCCTGGCAACAGAAATCATATATATACCCTTCAGGAAAAAAACCCATTAACATTTGAGCAGGTAGACAGAAACACGTTGGCTGGAATAGTCACCTTTTACCCCGTTGGTACCAGGAGAGCCCTAGAAAACAAGATATTGATCATATAAAATCTCCTTCTGTTCTTCTGTCTCATTCCCTTGACAGTTGTATGCAAAAATTCTTATTAAGCAAGTGCTGATTTTGTGAGGTGTCAAAACTTTTGTACATGCTTTTCTGTTCTTTAAGTTCATGGAATAAAAAATAACAGTACATTAACATTTGAAGAAAGAGTAATTTTAATGCCTCTTGCTGCAGGGGTTGTAGTTACTCATTTTAGTTTCAAAAATCAACAAAATATGTAATTTACCGAAAACTAAATATAACTACATATCCAAACTCAGAAAACTCGGTAAAAGCAGTCATCAAACAAATATCCACAAGTCCAGCTGGATCAAAATCAAGTCAATATATGAATTCTTGGGTGATAATTTCAATGATATAACAGTGCAACTGGCGTCTTACTCTGGGCCCTGAATCTCCCTTCTCTCCTCTGGGACCAGGGACACCAACTCCAACTTCCCCCTGGCAACACGAATCGTATATATACCGTTCAGGAAAAAAATCCATTAACATTTGAGCAGGTAGACAGAAACACGTTGGCTTAGATAGTCACCTTGTCCCCTTTTACCCCGTTGGTACCAGGAGAGCCCTAGAAAACAAGATATTGATCATATAAAATAATAAAATACATCTGTTTCTGCTCTTCCTCTTTTTTCTCTTATTCTCTCTCAGATAACTTCTTAACAACTTGATTTAACCAAGAAAACCTATTGGAAATACAAATCTTTTTTTGTAGTTGTATGCAAAAGCTCTTTGTAAGTAAGTTCTGGCTTAGTACTGCACTGCAAAAACATTTGCACATTCACATTTTTTGTGTTTTTTAAGTTCATGAAATATAAACAAATAGTGCATTAACATTTAAAGAAAGGTAACTTTGATGCAGGGATTGTATTTACTCAATAACCAACAAAATTTGTAATTTGCCCAGGGGTGTCCCAAGTATAAGAGAGATCACTCTTTCAACCTAACTACATATCCCAACTCAGAAAACTACCTAAAAGCAGTCGTCAAACAAATATCCACAGGTCCAACAAGATCAAAATTCAGTGCTAAATATAGCAACTCTTGGCTGAACCTAGCTACTTCTCACAGTGTAATAAAACCATGACTTAAACTCACTGCTTGTCCAGGAGGACCAGGAGGACCAGGAGCTCCAACATTTCCTGCACGGCCTGCAACGCCTTGGAGACCCTGAAAATGAAACTCACTAGTTGAAAATCACACCAAAGAGATTAAGGCTAAAAGCATACAGCACTGTGTGATCAGCAGCTCCACTGACCCTCTCCCCCTGTGGTCCTGGAGGTCCTGGTTGTCCAGTTTCTCCTCTCAGACCACGCTGCCCAGCATCACCAGACTTCCCCTGTGGCCCTGGAGGACCAGCTGGACCAGGAAGGCCTGGATCCCCCTGAAATGCAGTCACAGTTAGACTGTGGCATGTAAACCACACTGACTGATTACAGAGGTAAATACATAAATTATCCTCTGCTGCACCACACGCTGTTACTCACTTTTAAACCTTGAGGCCCAACCTCACCAGGAGAACCTGCCATTCCTATGCCCTTCTCTCCCTGCAACACATATTTTGTGATAAGTGTCACATGGCTTTTGTTTCATTTCAGGTTAATAAATGAAACACACAGCAAAACCTCACCTTATCTCCTTTTGGCCCTGAAGATCCCAGTGCCCCCTGGCAACAAATGGAACAAATTTGGGGGTGTGAAAAAGACTTTTAACACGCTTGTTTCAATTCTGTCAAAAGTTAATAAAAAAGTAAAAGAAACAGGTACTTAAACAGAATAATATACTGGCTTAATCACTGTTAAATAACAGCTCCTGCATATGCAAAGACAAGCAAACCATGTTAGTAATTATACTGTAATGTTTACCTTAAACCTTTTCTGCTAGATGATAAAGCAGTATTATACTTTTCAGACCAATGCACAGATATAAATGACAAAATCATATAAAATGTGAGAGAACATTTAGCACACCAGTCTAAAACCAGACCATGAAAAGGTTACTCACATCTACTCCAGGCTTTCCTGGTTCACCAGCCACTCCCTAGTATGACGACAGATAACAGATTATGAACATGTTGTTGTGTTACCATTAAGTACGTGTGTTGACCTGCTTGATTATACTCACTCTTTCTCCTTTGATGCCAGCAGCACCTTTGTCTCCTCTGTTACCCTGAATGACAGTAGTTACCATACAGGTTTAATGACAGAGCACTTCACATTTTCACACCGTCTTGTGTCCCTTGCTGAGAGTGAACCTTCAGTGCTAATGGTTTGGTCAGACTCACCTTTTCCCCAGCTAGACCTCTCTCTCCTGTTGTGCCTGGTAGTGTTTGACCAGGAAGACCCTGCATCAATCAGAACCAGGAAAGTACTGTCAGCTGCACTCAGCTTCTCTGTTCTAGTTCCTCATATATAAGTTTTTAGTCTTTCATTGCTGGACTAGGCTGCATTAAGATTACATTAAAAAAGGTTGATGTAGCTACATCCATGTTGCCATTGTCATTTACAGTGACTTACCTTTTCTCCTTTGGGTCCAGGGGGTCCAGTCACTGCCTGTAAGAATACAGAAACATTGAGAAATACTAGAAATTACTAGTACAGCATAGTATGGCTTCTTTTTCATTAAAGGATGCAAATATGTATTTAAAAGCCTTGCTAATTCAAATATCACATCAGCCCAACTATTAGCTTTTCCAGCTCTCAAAGATAAAGAGGTTTAATGTCTTTTTGTGAAGCCCAGCGCAACACCTCATCATCTTTGTCTTTGTTTTTGTGTGCATGTGTGTATGAGCAAATGGTGGAGCTGCTGAGCAGATGGACATATGTTACCTGGTTATTTATCAAACTGGTGAACTCACTGACAGTGTCACTGTGGCTCTGTCCAAGGTGCTGAACCTTAGGCTGTCAGCAGTGAGGGAGCTGTTTGAGATGCTCAAAGCAATTTGTGTCAGCTTTACAAAGAGCAGGGATGGCAGTGAATACTGAGAGCCAGACAAGCAAGCTCCATCAGTGGCGCTTGCCACTGTTGGCAGTGATGAGTTTAAAAAATAACAGGATGGGATATATGGTGGCTTAGTGGTTAAGACACTTACCATAACCTGTACTGTAATGTCAACAACATGCCCGCTCGCTTGCTGAACAATGACCTGCTCTATTCATGTATCAATAGACATTACAAAGACTTTATTCTAGGTAGCTGACAGGGTAAAGTCAGTCTAATGTCTGGTGCTATCACAAACGTGATAAAAGACATGCGAAAGTATTATCCAAAAGATTAAAATAAAGTATCACAAGCAATAAGTGCCAAGAAAAAAGGTGCTATGGACAAACAAACACTACTGTAAACAATAAAAAATGAAAGAAACTCTTACCACATGACAATAAACCAAAGATAACAGAGAAAATAGTGGGATGTTTTGTTGGTGTGGATGAGCTACTTACTTCCACAACTGAAAAAACAGGTGCTTAAATGCACAGCTTCAGCTTGTCTACATGCTGCCAAACTAGCATTTTATCTCTGTAGAAGTTGTCCCACATCTGTATGAGCACATCTCTGAATTCCTTTTGAAAGGCTCAGAAAACGCTGCAGTTATAATAAATGTATGTGCTATTAATGACATCATGAAGTCTGGCAGTAACCTGATAAATTCAAGTTCTGCATTACAAAAAGCGATGCTCCAGGCTAAAAAGCTTGATGGCTTGTGGCTCAGACAAGGGGAGATCTGTTGTACCAGCACAGCAACAGCAAATTATATTACAGAGCATATCATTTTATAAGAGAAAGTCCAGTACATGCATAGTTAACTAATAGTTTGGCAGCAGTTTAATAAAAGTTAACAGGCTATGATTAGTCAGTTTAGTGTTCATATCTGCAGTATAATGATATACATATTGAAAATAAAAAAGTTGTATTTATCTACAGTATGTCTAGTAAAGTGGGAAGAACAAATTAATTTAGACTCTATATGATGTTGTGACCATCTCTGTCATTTTCAGTCTCACTGAGCTGAAATTTGACTTAACTGAGATCCAAAGAACAGGCACAGGCTTTGTCAAGCCAAGCCGATCCCTATTAACAGATGTTTGCAGTCATTCAGACACAGACAACTGGCAGGCAAAAATACTTCAGTGTCAGTGTTAAGGTATTTCATATTTGGAGGTTGAGCACAGTCTACTAAGGTGCCTGTTGCTCTGAGAAACAGTAAAATATTGATGTCTGTGACTTTGTCAGGATAAATGTTTAACCAAAAAATAATTCATTGAAATTCAGTTGATGGTTCTGCTGACCTGAAGATGGGAGCAGCTACACTGGAACAGCCCGCTCTTTATGATTTGACAGTTCCTACCAGTTTTATTATGCTTGATAAAATGATGGGTCCTAAGAGTACAGAGTTATTCCTTTGTGCTGACTGTGACAGACTCCACCACACAATACCCCGAACGAGCACGGCACAATGACACATGTCAAGAGTG